TATCGCATTGAAAGTAAGGGATTCTAACCGAGGAGCGTTCCTTTAATACCAGGATTTAAAAAGCTTTTGTCGTCAGTTGAGAAGAAAAATTTGACCATGAACATAATCGACGAGATAATGATTTGTTCCTTTGTAAAGAAAAAAAACAAAAAGATTTTCTTGACAAACTACACGATGTTTCTTTTTTAACCATTTGCCCTACAATATTGCACTTTTCTGAAACAATATCACTGAATTTACTATTATTTTCCATTTTACAATATTTGTTGATATGATGACAATAATATAAATCTATTTATCACGCGGTGTACACGTCGATCGTAGTTTTGAAACAAAAGAATCTTGACTTGCTCACGTCTTTGTAGGACAAGTGGTTGAAAACTTTGAGAAAAATCTCCAAAATGCAAGAAAATAAATAAATAAATAAGTAAATAAGTTAATAAATATGTAGCTTTTTTGGAATTTTGAGAAAAGAACGAGGGGTAGTGATACTTGAAAGAGTAGTTTTCGTGCAGATAGCGCAAGAATTATGGCTCTGCCGGTGGGACCACCAGCCGAAGACCGACCCTGCAGGCTGCCAGAAGAAGCAAGGGGCAAGGGGCAACAGGGCAAGGGGGACGGTTTAAATCCTCTCCTCGGTTTCTGCCCTTACAACTCCGTAATTTTTAGCCCTCCGAGAAGTTAAGAGTAATTTACTAGCTCCGCGTAGGCGTTATTCGCTCTTATTCCCTGGCTCTTTGTGTCTATGTTCTCCCTTCTCTTCTATCTTTCTTTTTTCTTTTTTTCCTTTCTCTCTTTCACATACTTTCCATTCGTTTTTTCTCTCCCTCTTTTTTACTTTCTTTTTTTCTTTTTATTTTCTTTCTCCCCTTCTTTTTTTCTCTCTTTCTTCCCGTCGACGACGTGAGAGGATAGAAAGGAAGCTTCGCCACTCCTCTTGTTAATTGTCTACCTCTGATGAACTTGATTTTCAACAAGAGAAAGATAGCAGAGAACCTTAGTCCAGATAAATGCTAGCAATATCAAGTAACGAAGATAGTTAAGTTATTTATTCTTCTTTCTCGCTCGAATTAGCAAGTATTCCTACTGTCGGGAAAACGCTTTCTTTCTACTCGACTCTTATCCTATGCAAACTCTTTCTTTCTGCTTACCCTTTTTTCTTCTTCAAACTGACATCTCTTGTATCGTTTATTAATGTCATATACTTCCTTATACTACACGACGTTTAATTAAATTCAAATGGCTCGTCAAATATAATTAAAAATATTACGAATACTTGTTAATTATGTTAACAAACTTTACTTCTGTTGGTCCGCTTTTAATTTCGTTAGAAAAAACATTTCAACGTAATCAATGCACGTCAAAAAAAGCACTCAGCAACATGTTCGGTGACGATGAACGAGATTAGAGGCCGATAGTGACGACGTGGAACAGTTAGCTGATGAACTAGGCAGCAGCAGGGGCCTTTAAGCTCCCTGCAATGTGTTCAGGATGAAATGTTTAAAGACGAAAAGACATAAAAGAGGAGAGACCGTAGGTGACGGWACATTTATGGTCAAATGTTGTTGTTGTAGGGGGTGGAATGTGGGATGAACGTCTTCATGCTAAACTTGGATAAGCATTCGTGGAAAAGGAATAGTCGGTGGGCCCTGGATAGCTCAATGGATAAAAGCCAGTTGCCCGGAAAACGTAAGATCTGAGTTCCGGTCCAGTTCATTCAGTGGGTCCAGTCTTTTTTCACAAATCTTACAATATTTAAACCTATCGTTTTATAAAATATCGAACTGGGAGCAAATTAACTAACTAAAAAAGTAAAATGAAACGAAACAATAAAAGCTCGCGTGAAAAATGTTATAAATATATTTACTTACATTTGAACGGTGTCGTACGTATCTCGTACAAGTTTGTCTCCATTTTCTTTTGTGATGCTTGAACTGATGCTTGTTACTGAAGAAATTTGCTATGTTTCAATGAAATCGTCGTATCTTTTTGAAAACTTAATCCTTTCGTAATAAACTTAAACTACTTTGTTTCAAATAATTGTTATCTTGATCAATATTTGTCGTTAAATTACGCTTTCCTAATGAATTTTGCGATATTCAAAGTATATATTTCATATCGTAAATTGAAACATTGAATGAACAACAATGAACATTTACGTTGTACTTTTACGATAATCGATTAATTTAATATCTACTACAACGATAATTCGCATTGTCAAGATTCTATTAGCTCGAAAAGTTAAAACCATTTTAATCAGTTTGAAAATAGGAAATAGTATAATAATTTGTAATGAAAATTCGATGACCATTTCATTTATTTCGAGATAGAATCCTAATTTCAGATTGATTCCAAGATTAGTACGTTACTATTAAAAATCTTTTGACCGTTTATGCGCAAATAATAATATTCTTATATTATTGAACCTGTCAAGTTGGTGGTAAAGATGCCGGTTCGTTTATTTTTTTTTTTATTTGACGTTTTTTTTTTTTTTAAACCACTCGCCTTTTGAAGCCAAGCGTAACGTCTGAAAAGCTGAAATTGCGGATTCGCAAAGGAAGCGAAGAAAAGGTAGTTCCTTCCACGAGGTTGGCCATAGCTAAAGCTATGGTGGTTTCGTTGGTGGTGGTAATGTTCATACCGATGCCGATGGTTGTGCTAGTGGTTATACAGGGAGACAAAGCAGCCTTGTTTTCTCGTATACGGAAAACGAGATAAACTTCCGGCAGACTAGGAATATCTTTCTTCATTCTTTCTCTTTCTCTTTCTCTTTCTCTTTCCCTTTCCCTTTCTCATTTCTCCAAGCTTACGGGGCTAGCTTGTTATATTTAAGCAGAGTGCTACTACTGTTATAAGTATCAACGTTACGCGCGTTCTCGTCTATGCAGATGATGAGAAGAGTTTCGCGACGGCAACGAAATTATCTTCCCCTTTTATCTTAGACTTAAGCTACCTTCCATTACGAATTATATTTTAATTGATATTCATCCACCACCTTGATTGCTTTTCCTTTCGTCTGCTAATCGTGTTTTCGAGCACTCCAATACTTTTATAAGCTCATTCTATTTTTCCATGCTATTTTATATTCAAATGAAAATGTTCATTCCTATTCTAGTATCACATCGTTTTATCTTACAATTAGTTTTCTTAATTATGTCATATTATGATTAATCGAATATATCGAGAAAACAATGGTATAGCCTAAAGTTAATATAACAAAGTTTCATTCGTAGATTATTTGTTAAAATTTCTAACGGGATTTCAAAAATGTATGAAATAATCTCATTTGTTAATTGATAAAACTTACCCTTTGTAGGAAATGAAGAAGAAATCAATAATGAAAAATACTTTGACACAAGTTTGTATTGTAAATATCATTTATTGGACTTTTAGGCGTCATCGAGTACAACGAATACATCACGTTGCTTACTTAGAACACCTTACGCATTAATAAAATTGTGTTTCGTCGTTTAAGATTAGAAAATGAAATGGTCAATGAAAAGGAAAAGAAAAAACATCAGGTATTTTTTTTTTTTCATTTTGTCTATAGGTATAACACCGACGACGTCGCGTATTGGCTATCGTGCAAAATGTTTCATTTCGCGAATCGGATTAAATATTCGTCGGTGATCAAAATTATATATATATATATTTATATATGTATTTATATAACTGCACTTTTAAAAATTAGGAACCGCAGAACTCGTGGAAAGTTCGCGCAACGAAGCGAACGAATTCGTTAGAGGAGCTGGGGGAGGGTTTGGGGGTTAGAGAAAGATGGACAAAAAGATAGGAAGGGAAAGGGAGGAAGAGAGTTTAAGTGTGGATCCAATGGCGTGTAAGTTACGCCAAACTTTTCTTACTAATAGAAGAGATCAAACAATGTTACACGATTTTGCAGTAATGGTAACTATCGTTAACTTCGATTTCGAATATTCATCCGGAGGATTGAAATCTTAGGTGGGACTACGGCTACGTTTTTCTCTTAAAGTGGGAGGAACTTTGAAAATTGAGAATGGCCGTCGTTTATTTCCTCTCTTCCATCCCATTTGTAACTTTTATTATCTCCTCTATGTGAATGAAAAACGAACGAGTGAACGAACGAACGAACGAACGAACGAACGAACGATGTGATGGCATGTGTCACATCGATGTTTCAGGAAGGGATAGGCGAACGATAACTTATGGCTAAATAAAACTTTATAAAAATATATCAACGAATAATAAATATATCTCTAACAGCGTCACTGTATAATTCGTTCGTACGGTAGATCGTACGCATTGCATCCTATGCATTTACAATCACTATATACAATCACTATTGATTTTAATAAACTTATTCCTAGGTAAATTACCTAAAAATAATAATATTATACAACAATTGGTTTTTTTTCCTCTTTTTGCTTTTTGGATTTTTTTTTTTGTTGTTTTTTTTTCTTTTTCTTTTTCTTTTATGTTTTCTTCCTTTTTTATTTAATTAATTAATCATTAATATTTCGACCTTTATTTTATTTTATTTTAGTTTATTTTATTTTATTTTTGTTATCTAGCTTCGCTGTAAATAACCTAACGTAGTTTTTTTTCTCCCCCATATTTTTAATAACCTTGAACTTGTGTTTTATTTTCCTTAGCTATGTAAATCTTCGACGTTTTAATCCATGGGGGGAGGGGGATATATTTTATTAACGGTAAAAACGAGAAGAGGGTAGTTTTTATGTTTTTGATCTGACGCGCCGCATTTGACGGACGGTACACGCGGACGTTCGCCACTTGAAAATAGCTCGAAACGAACGTAATTGGTCGCCTCGCCCAAATCTTCTTCTTCTTATTTATCCCGTATAGATAATAAGTATACGCCGTTCACACATGCTCCCTTTAAAAATCATCTATACAAATATATACACATAGTTTTTTTTTTGTTTTTCATATACGCGCGATTCTTTGGCTAAAGACAAATTTTCAATCTTCTTTTCTTTTGAGAAGACACAAATTGTTGTTTGTTTCAAATGTAAACGACGAAATTTGACATCGGCCAATTGACCACGGTTTCTTCATAACATATCTTAATCCATGTAATACGTCATTGTTACTCAATATGTAACACATATCGTTCAATAATAATAATATATTCTGTATTATCAATGTTATCGTTAAGTATATATTACATACACGTGTAATAAGAATTACACGCACTTTCTTCATACTCACGTACATACATTATATATATATATATTGTTTCGTTAAATGCTAGTTGATACCACTGGAAGAAAGAAAAACCGTGTCTTCCCTCAGGATACCTTTCCTACTTCTTATCGGAAAAACGATGGTGGTCCGTAAAATCGTTCGCAAAGGGTTTCGTCGATTAGGGTAGGATAAAATGTGTTATTATCGTCGTAGTTTTCTTAGGACTTTTGCGATTGAGGAGGGGTCCGATATTCGATCTTGGATCGATTTCGGTTTTCGCGCGAACTTTTATATTTATTTACAAAGTTTACTTGGAAAGTTCGAACGTTTTCTCTTCCTCTAGCCCTGTAGTAGGCACCCCTCGGTATTGAAGAAGGTCTCTTCTTCCATCCACCCATCAACCAGCACCACCACCACCACCACCATCACCACCACCACCACCATCACCACCACCACCACCTTTACCAGTTTCATCCCCCTCGAAACTTTTTCCAAAGAAGAATAAGATGGTATGGTTCAGCGTAGATGTTGTTGCTGTTGTTGTATAATGGCCAAGGTTAGACAGAGAAGAAAAGTCGCTGGAGCCATCGAACGGAAGTGGGCGTGGCTGTATCCGGAAGCACGCGTCACGTTGAGTAAAACGGAAGCGTCCGCGATCCCTTCCGGCGAACGTACCAACAGCAACCATTCTCCTGCATGGGACCACTGAATCGTTTCGAAGCGTAGAATCGCTCTGTAGCACGTATCGATACTATCGTTCTGTAACAACAACAACAAAAAAACCAACAACGACGAGAAGACATTTACGAGCTGTTCTGCTGTTACTGTTCGATACTATTCTCATCTCTTTCTTTCTTTCTTTCTTTCTTTCTTTCTTTCTTTCTTTCTTCCCTTTCCGGAGAGAAAGGAAAGAGAATTTTCGCATACGGAACATTCAACCGATTCGATATGTCCAATGTATTTTGTACTTTTATAAGCTGCATGTTCATCGATAGAATCCTTCTTCCTAGTTTGATTTTTTCTTTTATTCTCTCTAAGGTGTTTTGAATACAAAATTATGAAAGGAAATGAAAAATTACGAAAAGGTTAATGCGCTTTAATCGTTTATCGTAAGATGAGTTATGCATGCCAGCTCTAGTTTCCCCTTTAACGTTCCACTAGCGTAACATGGCGTTTGAAACTTTATTTCTATCTCTATCCTTCTCTGTTGTGCTCTTCCTCTTTGCATACTACTGCGATACAACACGGATACAAGCTCACGAAGAGGAATTCAAGTACTCGTATACTCGGTCACGCGTGCTGTGAAGTGTATTCATTGTTTGAACTAAATCTATTTCTCTACGACTGTGTGTGTGTGTGTGTGTGTATGCAAGCTAGTACGATTAAGGTTTCCAAGTGTCAAATAGGAAACTCTTAATACCGGGTATTTCAATTCGAGACTCGAATATCTTTCAACGTTTTCTCATTTTATTAAGAAATATTTCCATGTATTTGTATTCATTGGAATGATTTTTAATAAATGTACCGTTTATTATTTGCCATATGAAAGAAATAAAAAAGTAATTTTTGTAATTTTTCACAAATGATTTTCACAAATGAGTGTATATAAACGCGTGTATAATAGCAAAAGTAACGTGAGAGGGGTTCAGAAGGAACGTTTAGTCCTCTCTTGTTATTATCGTTCTTAATAAGTTTTCTCGTTTACAAGTTTTCTCATTAATATCGTCTTAACAGATAATTAATTCGTCGCGTTTTTGTTAACGTTTTTCGATTAGATATTTTCCAAAGGAGGAAAGCTGTTAAATGAACATTGATCAAAAGTGAAAAAGAAAATATACATGAATAGAAAGAAAGTCTCATTTAGTTGTTACCAACCAAGTGTATTAACTTGTATTTCATTCTTTTTTTTTCATAGTTCAAGCTCCCCTCCCCCAACCCCCTTGAAATTTTCTATCGAGTCTCTGAAACGTGGCTTTTCTTTGAAAATCGAAGAAGCTCGTGCGCCCTCCTCTCGTGAACGAATTTTATCGAGCATAGAAAGTGACTGGTGAATGATAAGACGAACAAAACGATATTGCTTAAAATATGTCGTAAAGTTCTTTGACCATTGATAATAAAAGTCGATCGCATTTTTAATATGAAACTTTTTTCTACGAAGACGCATCTTTCATGCATAGATATATTAAAATTAGAATTAATAAAACTTGATTTGAAAAGAGGAAAGGACATAAAAAAAAAAAAGAAATTAATAAAGTTTCTCATTATGAAGGAAAATGAAGATCATCTATTCGTGAGAAACAAAGACTGTTTATTTTACGAAACATTCTAATGCAGCTTGACGAATGAAATTCCAAAAAGTACAATGTCGTTAAGGAGTAATTTACGAGCAAAAAGGATCATTAAACTCGTTGACTATAAAAAGCGTCGATGAAAAATATATATATATTTTTGTAGTTTTTCTTCTTGCAAAACGATCATCTATCACCATTTTGAGGGATGTTCTCGATTGGAGGCTTAACTTTGCAACACAACTTCCATTTACCAAGATTATATGGAAAATATCGAGTTGAGGGCGATATTTTTCGAACGAATGTTCCGAGTACGAAGCTTCAAATATTCCAAATACATTTGATCAATTATCTTTAATCTTTCTCTTGGTTATATATTTTTTTTTTGATTCTACAAAGAGATGAAAAAAAAAAAAAGAAATATCTGAATCGAGTTGAATCGATCGTCAGTCGAACGTAACCCACCCACCCCCCTATAGGTTTATAAGATAATTGATAGTGATAAACGAACGATACGAAGTACTATACACGGTTCAGCAGGCAATAATCGCATCTACTCTTCTTCTCTTTCGAAATACTCGAGCAACCTCCAATATTACCGATCACGAAAGGGGAAATGAATTTTTTAATTACATCACGGTTCATCGATTTGATCGGCTTGATAATTTGATAAACTCGGAATATTTTACATTCTATTCTGCAAGCTCGTTAGTTAACTTTGCTATCCATCCTCCTTCTGAAAAAGTATCAGCTAAAGTGTGATGAAGATTTCATCAGTTAGAATACTTTCAAAAAAGGGAAAGGAATACGACTAGAAGAAAATTGCTTTTGCTAAAACTTCCCTTAGTACTCCTGGTCAGTTTTCGTCGCGTCTTTATTTGGTAAACCGCCAACGCGCGTTTATTCCATTTTTGCATAACTGCCTTTCATATACATACGTTCGCGTAATTGAATCGAGAACCTTCGGTGATATTTCGTTTTGCGGTTCGAAACAGACGTCGGAGAACATTCACGAGATTTTCACATGCAAAGATCCGCAGTTTCTTGCTCCATTTAAATTCGACCTTTTCAACACTAGCGTATTTCCAAGTTGGCAGCTCTCTTTCCTTCAAGCTTTAAACTTCAACATTTTTACTTTCCATTCCTTTTTTCATAATTATACTTGTGCTATGTTATTTTTTGCGTAGATATAATAAACTTTGTAATGGGCTCGATCGATCGTATTATGTATACCAATACAAATACTTCTACTATCTATCGATTAACATCTCGTTAAAACAATTTTCAAGTAACTATGTAAACTATCAATTTTCAGTTTCAGTATAATTACACAAGCTGAGATGGATAGAATTGATAGAAATTCTTGTATACATTGTAATTAAACAAACGAGATCTTTTCATTGCATCATTGTTCACGTATTTTTTATTTTAATTTGAAATTAATCAAGCTAGCGAATTCAACGAAAATTCAAACGCTGAATGATATAGGCCATGTATTATCATAGATGTAGTCTTTGAATTCTGTTCAGTTCCTAGGTTAGATCGCAACAGATGATTCGTATTTCATCTACCAAATAAGATCAAGCGAAATAGAGCTAGCAGTTAGATGTTAAAATGTTGTCAATTAATTATTCACTTTTGAGATGGAAATTTGCACGAGAACGATGAATCGCGTAATATGTCAAATAGAAAGAGAGAGAGAGAGAGAGAGAGAGAGAGAGAGAGAGAGAGAGAGATGATAGAAATCAAGAAGAAATTTAAATTTCTAATAAGAAATTAGAAAATCGTAGAAAATAACTTGAAAATCATTTACCTCGATGGCAAGTGCTTGTATTCCATCCCGAGAGGGAGCACCAGGTACGTAAACTTGCTGCTCGGAAATCCAATAGACTCGGGTGTAACTGGGTTCTGCACAAAACTGTACAATGACATCCAAGGGTTCACCCTCGTTAGCCGTTACTGTTTGATTTGGTGGATAAGCCGTGGGATGTCCTGGAACAGAAAGAAAGGAACGACAATCGTTCAACTTAAACAGTTAACTGTGATCGACTTAGCAAGTGTAAGGAAAAACTTCGAAAATTTCAACTTTTCGTCGGGATTGAATGTTTTTGTTAATTATAAATGCATTTAGAGAAATTTAAGAATAATTCTTTGTTAATAAACAAATAATTCGCGATTAATAAAATAATATTGTGTGATTATAAATTGAGATATTAACTATTCTATCTTTCAAGTTGGATGAAACTGCACACAGTGTGCAAAACTTTATTAAAATCGTGACACGTAATTTATATATATATATATTAAGATAAGATTTAGGTCTTGATATAATCGTTTTTATATAGCAAATAATCATTTTTTTCTAATCAAATTTAGAATCCAAATTTGCATTGATTCTTTTCTCAAGATTTTCGTTCATTTCGTTCGTCTGATTTATGATTGATCTTAACTACCTAAAGTTGCTGATCAGTTCAAAAATTTTCTACCGGATGATCCAAATTCCCAATATTACGCACATTCTGAATTCTATCGGTTACCACTATTAAATTTGTAATTATCTATTAAATGTAAATTGGTATTTATTTATACGTTCGTAAGAGAAATACGAAACAATCGACGCCGTTAAAAGGAACACGTTTTAAAACGATTATAATGCATCCCTTATTTCACTTTTTTCTTCTATTTCTATTCTTTGTCTTTCCATTTTCTCATATCCAAAGCACGTTCGTGCACTTTTATAGCATACGTTTTACCGGTACATACGCTTAACACAGAAAACACGCAATAAAAATAAGAAAACTTGTGTATAACGTAAAGTGTAACGCACGGCCAACGCTCGTGTGTAGTAGAAATTAGTTAAGCGCATTATCCGGAGTTTTAAAACACTTTAGTCCGAAAAATACAAACATAAAGGTGTGCAGCTGCGTGAGCAACGTCAGCTGTGGGACCCGCCTTCCTTCCTTCCTTCCTTCCTATTATTTAATTAGTAGTACTATAGTAAATATACGTTTAATCCGTTAACGAACCATGTTTCATATCCGAGCGAAGCATCAGAATACGCCTAGTTATATTTCCAAGATATTTTAAAACGTAAATACACATTTTTTTCCCTTTCCTTAAAACTACGGAAACTTTATACGAGATACTTAAGAAGGACATACTGTTAGAATTCCCTCAGATTTTATATAAGACCCGTTAGAAAGCAAAATGCAAGATTATAAAGCTTGTCTTTAAAATCACACAAAGTTTCATTAGTTTATCAAAGTACTTATCGAAGATTTCATTAATTTAATCCTCTTCGACTATTTGTGCTACTTTGATAGATTTAATCAACTTTTATTTTTCTCTTGAAAATCTTCGACTCAAAAATACATAGAATTTTTCTATGATAAAAATTTCTCTTTTATCTTTTCCTTTATTATACTTTTCTTTATCGTTGGTCACCGTTGTTGGATTCGTACGATTTAACTTTCATCGTGGTAGAGCAAGGGCTCAGAGGAAAATCGTCTCCCTTGGGATTAAATCGCGTAGGAGATCGTACAAACGGATACTCGATCTTTCGTATTATTTTCGTAACGTATAGTCTAGGGTGTGCGGCTTGATTAGATTGTTTTAACGAACCCGGCGAACAATGCACGAATAACTGTGGCCATCCTTGCGAACAATGCTGCACTTCCATGGACCTTATGGTCCTCGGGTGTTGATGGTTATCGCCCTGAGCTACCGCTAGTCGTCGAGTGAATCACACTTTTCACGTTGGATCCTTACGATATTACAGATATTACGATTTGTCAAATTCAATGACATTATCAATTGAATACAAATTTGTTTTTAAATATAAAATACATCGATAGAGTAAAGGTACAATTTAAATTACATATTAAAGAAGAGTGAGTGATGAAATTAGGCAAAATTGGAGTCGTAAAAAGAGGACAACGGGGGATGAATGATTGGTGGAACGAGAAGGTCCTCTTGCGATCTCGAGATCGGAAATTAATCGATTAATTAGCAAGCTGTTACGCGCGTTCGCGCGAATACAGAAGTAATTCGTTTCCCTGTTTAGTTGGACGCTCTCGTCCGTTTCTGCACTGGATGGCAATTTCACGCGTAGATTGCTTTCGAATCGAGTGACACTTTCGAAAGCGAAACGCGACACCGTTACGTCGCCCTCGCCGACATTAAAATATTCATTTCCTGCTTGATCATTCGACGAGACAACAATCCTTTTCCTTTAGTTTTTTTTTTACCTTGCCTTTTAAACACATAATAAAATCTCAACCTGCTTACTTCTGTAGTCTTTGATAAAAGGACGAATCTCACACCCACGTTGATTTCTTAAGAATATTTGAACGTCTTCTTCCAATCTCTACTCTATTTATCTGTCTTTCTCTATCTCTCTCTCTCTTTTGGCAAAATGCAGATCCATAGATGCCTATCTTGCTGCAAAAGCAAGAAGCACATCCAAGATATTCGAGTAATTTCAAGCAGAGGATTATTCATGAGGGTGTAACGCTCCACTTCTATTCACCGTACAGATGGGGAGGTCAGAAAGCTTGCTTTACGAAGCGGCAAATCTATTTGGATGTTGCTGCGAGTTTCCCCCGTCCCCCTCCGTCCCTCTCTCTCGCTCTCTGCGCCTTCTCGAAAATTTGTTCGAAAAATCGAAAGTTTGGAATGAACGTTCGAATGCTAATCATACTCGTTAGGTAGTTGAAATTGCTTCCAAAAGGATTTATTAATCGGTCTAACGGTCGTTAATTGGCTCTACACTTATCAACGATTGCGGAGAGCAATAAAAGGGCGACCGATCCTCGCGCTCACTTTGTTTCATCAGAGAGCTAACAACCGAACGCGACCTTTCACCACTAACGAGGCACAAGGCGCCGGTAAATGAAAGGGTGACACGAAAGAGGGAGCAAGCAAGCAAGCAACCAACCAACCAACCAACCAACCCTTCGTCCAACTCTCTTGCATTAAAGTGCCACCGAAGCTAGGATTTATGATCACGAGAGGAACCGAACGCTTCGCGATACGTTCAACAGGGGTTAACAGCAGAGCAGCCCTCCTTCCGAAAACTTTTTTGAGATTTATCGTTTGCCCCCGAACATACATACAAATATACACACACACACACACACTAATACATTCTCTACTCTAACATATATTATTATGCATCCGGAATGCAACCGATTTTATTCCATTTAACGAATCGATTTTCATCGAGTTTACAACGTTTTGTCGAATAGATTTAATCTCTTAATGGATACGATCGATCGTTTTAAATTAAAGAGAGATTTAGTAAGTTTTCTTTAAGTAATACCCTTCTCCTATTTTTTGTCTTTTTCGCAAAAATGTTAAGTATGTACAAGACTAGATTTATGATCATGAAGAAGGGGGTAGTATTAACCAGTTAACTGCTCTCGTTTGAGAACGCGCACCATTTTGTGTTATCAGAATTGTGAGCCATGATGTATATACTCGTCAATCACATAGTAAGTTGTGCTGGTAAGATATTGGATCCAAAATATGGGTTCTTCTTCTTTCAATCTTATGGGAAAAGACCAGTGGGTAGATGGAGACGTAGATGAGAGGACAATATTATTTCGGGATCTTAAAGAAATAGGATTTGGTATTTACGGCAATGCTAATTAATAATAATAATAATAATACAAGTTAATAGAAATGTCGTATAGGACAGTTATCAGAGTAGAAAATTGTAGATCTATTTTCGTAAAAAAAAGGAGATGTGATCAACAATCGTGTATCTCTTTATGAGAAATTTGCGAGCAACGTAAATCGGCGTAAAGTATCTTTCTCAAGTATAACGGACGGCCGATGATGGAAAAGAGTCTCTTGGGTAAGCCGAGAGGCACAGAAACTAGCGGAAAGACAAATTGGGAGCTAGGTAGCCCCTCGAGCTTTCAATTTGTCCTAAGTTAACACTGACACCGGTCGACTGGCTCGTATCGTTCCTCCGCCTTTCGGGATTTTCCTTTTACTTTCTCCTCCCAGGATTCGAACGATATGCACAGGAAAGAGTACAGAAAAAAAAAGAGTAGGGGGAGAGAGAGAGAGAGAGAGAGAGAGAAAGAAAGAAGGAAGGAATATAAGGCATCCTTTGGGAACGGTTCGGTCCTACAAACGCAAAGGGTTGTTGCTCCGTCGTAATCATCCTTCGTCCTTTGCGTCCCTTTCCCCCATCCCTTTCCCCCATCCCTTTCGAATCTTTTCCCGACTAGGAGCCATCTATTCGAAGTACATCTTTTATTCAACAAACCTATTCGATATATCGCGCGTACCATCTTTAACGACACGAAGGATCATACAACGATCTTGCCAATATTCTTTCCTATTTTTGTGTTCTATTTTTATTTTTTATTTTTTCTTTTTTCTTTTTTCTTTTTTTCCCCCCCTCATATTACAATAATACGGTAATAACTGTCATTTCATAAAAGCTACTTTCTCTCTATTTCTATAAATAATCCTTCGCATTTGTTTGGAATTGTTTGAATTATATCTGTGTTCTTTTGCCGAGTAAGTGATATTTCCATATCTATCTCATTTAGTTTTAATATACGTACGTACGCATGGGTATTATACCTAGAAAAAAAACTATTATCTTTCCAACTCGATATCATATATTTATTTTCCAATAAAATACATTCGGAGCGACAGAGAGAGAGAGAGAGAGAGAGAATGTAAATGAAGGAATGAAAAGGGGGAGAGAGGTAGATACAGAGAAAGCGGTTCATTAAAATTTTACTATCGTATTTCCCCGCTATCTCTAACTCGGCAGAACCTTCCTAGATACGTTCCTGCCATTTTCCACGAACTCTTTCAGTCTACCTTTCGAGTCTGAACGATAAGAGAGAGAGAATGGCTGCCAAGCGGCACCTTTTCCTACTTCTGACTATCCCTTTTTCCGTGTGTGTTTCCCTTCCATCTTCACGAAGCGTCGTCATTATCACCGCAGCGCAGCGTCCGCCGAACAA